TAAAAACAAATTGATTTTCGCAAGCAATTAGCAATATTGATCTTTGATTGTTATTTATACAATACAATTGCTGATCAGACCAAAAAAGACGAAAATTAGATTCAGATAATTTTGAACATCATTTCACTAACCTTAGTAGTAATCTGGCAACCTCAAAACTCAGAGGTAAATATATTCAACACTGATGTATAAATTGTTATAAATGTACAATTACCTATTGTAATTGTAAAGTTTTACGGGAAATTTGTACAGATTGTTAGGTCTGATATATCTATTTGACATATACTACAAGGTTAATAAATTTTTTTATTATTACCCAAAGTCTTATTTTATCATTTTCTAAAATCATTTAATTTTTTTCTTTTTAGTGAATTACCTGATAACTTTTAATAGTATACTAAATTTAGTATACTCATATTTGTCTAAAAAATGATAATTTTTAAAATTATTTTTTCTTGATATTTACATTATAAATAAAAATAAAATTTATATTTTTAAATAAAACAATATATATTGATTTTTAAATATTAAATTATTAATTTTATTTAAGTTTTAGTATCTTTATGAATTTTACAAAATGTACTATTTTAGTACAAAACTATAAATCCAATTCATTAATTATTAAATTTAAAAATTTATAAAAGATTTAAGTTAATATTTAATTTAAACTAAATATTTTTATATTAGAAAGATTTAATATTTAATAAATTATAAAAAATATAATAACTTATTAAATAATGTACAGTATTTTAAAAATAATTTAAATTATTTATAATTTTAATAAATATTATTTGTATTTATTTAATAAAAAATCATGATTAAATCTATTTTTGAAAAAAATAAAAAAAAATATAATTTATATTTTTATATTAATAAATATTATTTGTTAAGAAATTTGTTTTAAAATTATTATTTTAAAATAAGTTAAATAATTATTAATTAATCCCCGGATCTACAATAGAGGTTCCAGTATATAAATTAGATTTTCCTTGAAATTCGTCATGATTTCTAACAGAAGTATCGATAGCTGTGTTAATCGCCCTAGTATGTATAGGAGCAGCATTGTGAGAAGGTTCATTAATATCTATTTCTTCATCAGAAGGAAGCACCTTAGGTAATTTATCACTTTCTCTAAATTCTTGAAGAACACTATAGGGAGGGTTATGACGCCATTGATCCAGAATGGATTTGATTTTATGAACTTTAGGTCGGTTATCCTTATTACTATCCCAGCACCTTTCCATTAAATCACGATAACAATTTGGTGTTCCTTCTGGTACTCTAGGACGTCTATTATGTTTAATAATATCTATGGCTAATGTTTCATCTCTTTTCGCATGAAAAAAGGCTTTATCTGTATATGCTATCTCGGCAAGAATCATACCAAAGCTATAAATATCAGCTTCAGGTGTATAACGTTTTCCTCTTAAAACTTCCGGAGCAATATATTGCATAACACCATAAACAAGTTCTTTTGAATCGTCTCTCTTAACTGGACTACTTAATCCAAGGTCACTTAAATATGCCCAAGTACCACGCATCATAACGTTTCCGCTATGAAAATCTCTATGTACTAATCCTGCCTTATGAAGTGCTTCAAGATCATGAACAATAAAGTGCAATATGTCTAATTTTTTTTGCCATTCAAGATCTGGATTATTTCGTAAATATCGACGAAGGTTACCACCTTTAGCGAATTGCATAACCATGACCAAATCATTTCTTTCTGGATGTCTACTAATTCCATAACATTTGAGAAACCGCATTCCATATATTGCACATCTATGATGTGCTTTAAGCTAAAAAAAATATTTTTTTTAATATTTTTATTATCTAAAAGAACAAGAAAAATTTAAGTTACAATATACCTCATCCAAAAATTCTTTTGAAACAGATTTAGAATTATGAAGTCGTTTAAGTGCAACTGGAATTCTTTCATTTCGTTCTCTTTTATACGGGGTTAAATGTTCATCCAGTGGATCATCAATTCTTTCACCAGTTTTCCAAAGTGCCTGGTATACAGTACCGAATCCACCTTTAGCTAAATCTTTTACATCTTCAAAATCATTGAAAGGAATCCATTCTAAATATGCTGTATATGATTTAGCATTTCGTTGAGTATCTCGAATAAACTCATCAATTTCTTCGTCTCCACTGGTCCAATTATCGAAGTCTGCTATTAATTTTGCATTATCACATATTTCGCACCAACAATAATCGGTTTTGGATGCTCCGCAATCAAGACATGTTCCAAATTGCTCTTGCTTTGAATCAGTCTCCATAAATAAACAAGATTTAATATATTGACAACAATCAATAGAAAATCTTTATTGGTCCACTTGACCGATCTTCCCTGTCAATCCGGTTTTAACCCTTTTTTTCGGACTATTATATTAGTCATATAATAATTAAAAAGATTTTCCCTTTATATAATCACATCACGTGATATTTATGAGTGATACACGCGTTTTTTTTATAAATTTAAAACTATGCTACCAACGCGTCCTACAAAAAAGAAATTTGTGAATATATGTTAAGTAATCTTTTGTAGCTCAAATAAATGTTGCATTATTTTTTTTAATTACAGAATATAATTAAATATTGATAGAACAATTATTATGAAATTATAGGAAAAGTGATTATAAATAACATTCAGTTCAATTTCTAATACTTGATAAAGTTATGCAAATTTAAACCTTACAAGCAATAACAGCTGGAATTCTATTAACAAATATGATATTACAACAAAAAGGCTTAGAATTTGCAAATATTGAAAATCAAATTAAATGTGAAAATAGATTGAATTTATAAATTTAAAATAAAGTAAATTTTTTTAAAAAAGCAAATAGTGTCTTTTTTAAACACTTTTATAAGAATGATTAAAATTATAATTATTATAAAATAAATAGAATAAAAAAAATATTTATAATACAGATGAAATTAGATATTTTTATATAAAACTAATAAAAACATTGAATGTAATGAAAAAATAAGCCAATTTTACATATTCAAATTGGAACTGTAAAATCAAAAAGATTGAAATTTTTTATCTATTCTGCAGTATTATAAGACAAATTTACAACTGCTGATGAAATACTATCTCTAAGTCAGTAAATTCAGAAAATTCAACTCTAATAAGTGAGAATGCAAATGTAATTTTTATGAATAAACTAGAATTATTAGACAAAGAGGAACAAAGTTTATTCAAAATTATTAATAAGACATTGACTATAAGTCAAGAATTACTAAAAAAACTTTTGACCAGTCAATTAGCTCTATTAGAGTTGTTAGCATTACATCTGAAAATTCTAAAAATATAGATAACTTGATTTTAAAGAACTCTTTAACAATTAAATCTAATGCTCTAAATGTGAGAAATGCTTTGAAAAAATTTCTATATAATTTTTAAAGCTAGCTGTTTTTACTCTGCAAGCATACTGTGCATTATGATTGCATTGATAATTCATGAAATTATATTCTACCTGTCCATTAAACAGAATTTGAAAATTTTAGTAGAACATGATTCAAATATAGCATAGAAAAAAACACATTAGTGAATCATCAGCTTCTTCTAAAGAATCTCTAAAAACAGCTGAAAAGACTGATAGAAAGAAGGATTCATGTGCAATAAGAGAGCTTATACTGGTATCTCTGATATCTTCTTCTAATGAGTAAGTAAGCATTATCACTTTGCAATCTACATCCATTTTAGAATCAAGTACATTTTTGTAACCTATATATTAAAATTGTTAATGCTAAGGATCAAAGTAAAAAATCAAACTAAAATCTCATTAATAGCTATTATAATTTTGGGAAAACATTTAAGGATCGTTTAGGGCATTATAAAATTAATCGTCCAAAACAGACTGCTAAGAAATTTGTCAATAACAAAGTTAGGGATCAGCTTCTTTAGAAGATTTCTGAGGATATACTTCGAAAGAATACAAAAAGGCTAGATTTATAAACTTTTTTTTACATAAGTTAAGCAAGGATGAGATTGAACATGTAGTAGTTGCGGTTATAAAAAATAAAAATAGACTTTACTGCGCCCCAAATCACATGATACCGTGATTTTTTTTTTTTAACGACCAAATCAAATTCCTTAAGGTATCGAAAGGTTCTAATAATCCAGAAAAAAAGTTAATGAACAAAGTTGTTTTTATCTTAGTTACTAAAATAGAAGGTGTATGAAACGTTAGGTGTTTTTTTAACCTAGGGATTTGGTAAAATTTTTAATTATTTTTGATTCTGCGTGTCATAAAAGCTTTTCTAACGTTTCTCATAAAAGAACGCAAAAGAAGAAAGAAAGACATCTGCTGAAAAAATAAGTTGTGATAATTTTCTTCACAAGTATCTGTTGTCAAAGAAAGATGCTTCTTTTATAGAAAATTCCCCAGACTGAGCATAGTTGGTATTTAGCGATGGTATGATTGCTAGTTTAGATGAAGCTGGATCACGAAAATAGCCCCTTCATTTCTTGCACTGAATCTTGTCTTCCTTTTAAGACACAAGCTGTACGCCTCTTCTGGAAAGAAATTGAGGAAGAAACCACTGTTCGAACTGCCTCACTAGGATACCTCAACATATTTGGAAAAGTGGTAAGATATCAGAGTGGAACGTCTATAAGGTATCTGGATTGTATTCGCCTACTCTAACACTTTTTTCTGCGAACAGCTTACTCAATATGTGTTACGGTCACTGCACCTGGATATGGAGCACCTGCTAAATTGACTTTAGCTAATGTTCCATTTGAAATATCTATTGGGGATAATCAAAATTGGAACAGTTGGGCCCAAACCAAGTATGGGAACGAAACCCTGGTGACTCTTCTCTGGTTGGCAATGAGAGGAGGACTTATGTTCTTGAATGCTCGACATGAAAATCCATTGGCAACATTTTTAAATAACCTATCACCTTGACATATTTATTACAATTGTATCGCATTGCTTTTTAAAGCGAAATGCATAAAATGACCTGTTGTAAGTTAACCAATATGCAAACTGATTTGTATAAATTATGTCCCAATTAGAAAAAATAAACTTTATAATTTTAAAACAAATTTACTGCGCTTTTTAACCATCACATCGGATTTATTTTTTACCCGTGTATGCTTCAAGTGGGATGTATTCGTAAATTATGTGTCTTTTAACCAAAGGTCTCAAAAGGTAAGATTGAAATATTTTGTACCAGCGAAATTTTCCATGTAATGTTTATGGAAGGACGATTCTTCCGGTTAAATTGGTGCCCCGGTTTCAGCTGAGGTAAACGCTTCGACTACCCCGGTGAATTTTATACCAAAATTATTCTGTGTTGCTCTGCCAACCACATAAGATTTAATGCATTCAATTTTTTTTTTGTTCTCATAAAATTTTAACCATTATAAAATCCTATCAAGATATTATCAATTAATAAATTTATTAATAATTTTGTTAAATATACAAGAAATATATGGTAAGCAGGATTCTTTCGGTAGTTTCAGAAGTGGTTAAAATGAATTTGTTCTAATCATCATTTACAGAAAAAATATTATTTATCTAATCCGCAAAAAAGCTCGGGAGTAATAATTTCAACGTCTAAAAAAGTAAGAGCAAATAGCTCAGCTAGAAGCGCCACACAGCTTTCTCGTAACCTGAACTATCCACCAACGTTTCTCTGGCATTACCGCCTTTTGATCTTGTAAAACAATCGCCATCCTAATGAGAAGGTTTTTTAACATAACCTCGTCCATGACCATTGTAACCTGAGAAGATAAGTGGTCCGGTGGGTTATAAGTTTTCGCGACGTCGGACATCATTTCCAATGTGTAGTGTCCGGTATCCGGACCAATATGGACAGTATAGAGATATAGTGACGAACTAGAATGGTGAATAATATTTGGTAAATAAATGATATATAATGAACTCTTATAAGATTCATGAAAGATGATATATTACCCCCTTTCGGCATTGCGTTTACAAACCGAGTCCAAGTTGTTAAGTGTGGGCAATTCCACTTCCCCATCCGAGAGAAAGATTACAACGTTTAACCTACGCAAAATATTGGATTTCAAGGTAAACAAATGATACAATTGTTTAAATAAATATTCAAAATTAAGTTAACCTTTTGGCATCAAAATGTTTGGTGACAAGTTCGTCTACTTTATTAATGGCGACAATATAATCGGAACGGCCTCTGAAAAGTAGAAATAAATTGGAACATGTTATCATATCATCTGATAAAACGATTCCAAACATCAGAAAATAAAAGAAGTACTTTGTGGCTTTATATTCAAGCATCTTGTCGAAGAGTAAATTGACGTCCAAGCTTTTGTTTTCGAAGGCTACATCTACTTTATCATCGAAAATGACAAGCGATACCATATCCTGTTTAGCAATCAACGGAGACCCTACGGATTGTTGATATGTGTGCAATCGAGTTTCCATGAATGAACAAACCGCATCGTACGCAGCACCAAGACGATTGTTATGAGAGGTTCGTAAGTAGTTGTAATTACGAGAATTGTTCTGCGGTGTGATATCAGAAGCTGCAAATATTTAGAAGTTTATGAGATCGCGTTAAATTTAACCAAAATACATGAGTGCGTTCAAGATCCTTACCACCCATCGAGCCCCCTCGATCCATAACGAATATAACATGAAAAGCAGGACGTTCTGGTAATTCGTTGTGGTCAATCTTTTCTACATTCCATATCTTTATTATACGCCAAAACCGTAACAACAATAATAATTCGACCACTTCTTTATCTTTATCCTCAAAGAGGAGTTCAAAACCGAAGGTTGCAAGGATTATCAACACGTCCAAACCATGTAAAGGGCCATACTTGCCATTGTAAAAATAGGTTGGGCCAAATACGATAAATCTTAGAAGCATCTCAACTAGAAAACCAGTGTTGATAACGAATATCAAGTTTGATAAGAGTCCTATGAGGGAGGTGTCATCCGGATGAAATAATTTGATTATAGTTATGACCATTAGAGCGAGCACGTCCGCGGTTACCAAAATTAAGATAATCCATTGCATTGCACGGGATTCGAGGAATTCGGCAATATAAGTACATGTTGATTTTTTGTTGGGGCCGCTTGAATTGCCGTCGGCTGAAACCACATTGGGGATTGTACCGTAATTCATCTTATTGTAATTTGAAGTTTTTGAAGTTTTATGAAGAATTTAAAAAGAGAGAAGCGAAATGTCCATGGCTTTATATTAAAGATTCTTAGTTTTAGCGGATTAATTTAAATGCATAGTAAAATTACACAGTTATTGTGAATTCCATTAGCGGATATGTTGTGCTAAATGTGCTAAATCAAATTCCTTTAAAGGACACTATCGTGTTTCATTTTTGTCAATAATTTTCATTTCTTATTATATCCATTGGCTCAAATAAATAAATTAATAAAATTTCCAATATTCCTGATTAATTTTAGCATCTTAATTTATTATAAGGATTTACATCAAGTTTTGAACTATAGAAAATGACCTTCCCGAAGCATAGTTACACAGAAATTAAGTTGTTTCAGTTAAATTAATTCTGCTATGCAATGTACATTTTTGAGAAAGATATCCTTCAGAACGCAGTTCTGAACAGTTTCAGGACACTGTTTTTTTTTTATTGTGTCCATGAAAGGTTGGATCTTCATCAGATCATGTTAATTTTAGATTTTTATTCAAAAAATTATTAGTTAACGTACAAAATTGAAATGAGATGCATATAGAATAAATTTTTATTTGATATAACATTGTTTCTTAAAATTTCTACCCTTTTATTACTTTGTATTTACGTTTATTAGTTTTTTCAACTTTAATTGGAACCTCCTCCTCGACTTTTATTTTAACATCCATGATGTTCTCAACTTTGATTGGAACATCTACAATACTCTCCTCAACTTTAATCTGAACGTTCTCAGGCTCTCGTTTGATGACAACGTCATCCAGTTCGTTCGCAGTTGTGGATGTAGTGGCGTTATTATTCACCGTCGCAAGGTCGTGTTGAATTGAAATACCTCTTGCAACGAACCAATAGGTAGGACGATAATTAATGTGGAGTACAGCGATTGGTTCCTTATCCATTTTTGTTAACGTTTTTTCATTAAGTTCAGGCTGATTAAAAGCTTCCCCTTCGTCAAATTTTGTAGTAAAGGTAATATCTATATTGCTTTTATTCTCGGTGACTTTGGTTTGTTTTAAATCTTCAGAACTAGTTTTCCTCAATCTCTTACTCTCTTTTCGTTTCTTAAAACTCGCTTGATAAAAATAAACCGAGATCACACCCAAATCTCCATAGCTTGTCTTTTTTTGTGTGACTGTCGATTGGTCCATTTCAGTCCATTCCGTTTTATCAAATATTAATTTGTATTTCTTGGTAAAATCTTGATTATAAAAACATTCCTTGGAGAACGATAAACAGGTAACAAGGTGTGTGTAGCATTTATCAGTTTGTCCATCTATGTAAACTTTTGCCTTGATTGGTTCATGATCAGTTGCTATAGCCGACGAATATCTAATCTTGTAAGAGGTTCCGGGTTCGGGCACCGCGACAAAGGTGGACGAAGCGCTATAAAACGAGAAAAAAAGGTTAGACTTTGATATAAAAATGTGAATATAGATATACATATAGACTAAGTACCTTATGTACTTTTGACTTTTTATTTTATCAAACGCGTATGACTTTAGCGCTCTTTTTACGCTTAGCTATATAAAAAATATATAT